TATTGTGTACAAAATTTTGTTCCTTCATTTACTGTGTTTCAAATGTAGGTCAAGTCATATAAAATGCAATAATTCAGCAATTTTATTTGATGCATAATGCTTGAACTTAATTTGAATTGTTGTCAATTTCTTTAGTATGTAGATGAACAAATTCATGAAAGGTGAAAAGGTCAAAGCTGTAACTAATATTCTTGCTTTCAATCATAGGTGATGACTATTTTTTCCTCATTCCTTATCTAATTTTTAATAATTGTCACAAAATTGATGCAGGTTAGCAATTAACAAGAGATGACTAGGTTTTGGAATTTTTTTTTTATGAATTTCATAAGATTTGTTTCTTTTCAGCTGTAGTAGAATTTGATTAATTCAGTCTTGTGTTTTTAGAACGTACCATTTATATTCATTAAATATGCAGATCTTTAATTCAATATCTGTGAGGCAGAAGCACATCTACATGTTTCTGATTATACATGTTCTTATACATGGTTTCTTAATTATGGAATGGTTATTGATTATTTTCAAAAATATGATGATTTCTTTATATTTTAAATTTTTCACATTTTAATGAATCAAAATTCACAACACATTCACCCCTTAAATGTGTAATTTTGATTTAAATATAACCAAGGATATCCAAATATTTTAAAACGTTTAGTGTAAAACTAAGGTCAGGTTGTAGATTAAAATAGGTTACCATAGTAACGAGTGTCATAATCATGGTGTCCCCATTCAGTTCTGCATTCTGATTGAGCAGTTGCTACAGAAACGAGTTATGCTTAACTTTGAGCTACTTTAAGAATGTCATCACCTCCCACAGAATATTCCTGTTCAACTTATTTTCCATCAAAATATGTTTTGTTACAATCCTGTAAGCAATAATTTACTTTGACGTTTTTCTGTAAATTACTGTCCTTATTACATAAATCAGGTTACTGTAAAATGGTTAATTTGGGTTTTAATTTGGCTTATTTCGCTGACTGGAAAATGCGCTAAATTAAAACCCAGTGAATATGTGAATTTAAAACCCACTGAATATGCCTGAAATGGTAAATCAACGAAATTTAAACCCAGTGAAAATTAGTCATTTTACAGTATTTTATGTTCTGCTTGTATAAACAGTTGTTGTTGATCAAATTGTTATTAAATCACTCGCGTTTGTAAAATGAATCTTTATTTTGGTTACAATGAGGAAATTATTTAAATGTGCACATTTCAGTTTTATTCCAGTGCTGCAATATTTATTTTGGTTGAGATACAGTGTATAAATAGAGACAGAATTGTGTGTTCATTGTTACCATGACAACAACTTTACTATGCATTCACATTAAATAGCTTAAAAGAAAATCGTTGAAATATTGAGAAATGTGTTTCTTCATTCAAGGAATAGTTTTGACCTTTGACCTACAGTTGTACTTGCTGTTATTATTGAGGTCAATGTCATTATCAATTCTAACACATTATGGGTATTAATAAGTTTGAACTTAATACACTTTGTATTCTGTAAAGTAGTTTTGGTAACAGCTGGCAATAAGCCAGCAATATCACATGTAACGAATATCAGTGTCAATTAATTAATTAGTTCTGTGTGATCCTGCTACATATGGTGCCAAAAATAAAGTTCATATGACTTCTGCATTTACAGAAATTGTTATTTCAATTTTTGTTTTCCCACTTGTCACAATCGTTGTGCTGAACACAATTAAATTCTGCATGAACATTGTATTTTACATGTGTTGTTTACAACACGTGGCATTCATATCGAACCTGACTCAGTACAATGTCTGTGGTGTGATAAAAATGACATGTGCAATCACTTTAAAAACATAAATGTATGTAATAATTTAAAATTAATTAAAATCTGATCCATGGTGAGTATTGTTCCCGCTGTGATGCAATATATCTGTAGTAATTTTTTTAATATTTACCTACATTACTAAAGTGATATTTGAACTATTACTTTTCATGGCATGTGTCAGTAATACATGTATGATGTCAGGCTTCGAGAATGTATCATGTGCTTGTGTGTCTTAGGTGAACCCTGTGTAAATTTGAAATCTGTCGAAACTGAACACCACTTTTCAGTTGCAGTTTCTTAGACTTGCTTCTATAAAAGACCTCTGTGAACTGATTTTCTGAATACGTTAAAATCTTTCCAGTCAAGATATCTGCTCTACCTTAACACGTGGAGTAATTCATAAATCTATCATTTTGATGAGTGTACACACCAAATTTTTTCTTTGATTATTTTAATGCTGAAAAATCTTAGCAAGGTTTGATATCTAGCAAATTAAGTATAAGTCTATCTTCTAGAATATGGTATTCTTGGTTGCAATTATGCGATTTCTTCAAGTTCAGGTTGAAATCACCTCATTGCAACCGGTAGTTATAAACAAAATAAACAACATATTACACCATTGTGTGGTAGCAAAACCATATCTCTTCCTCACTTGTGTGATAGTATATTTGGATTTCCATCCTTTGTAGATGAATTGGTGCATGTGGCACTCTGTATTCTATGCATACAATGACAGTAGATGATATTTACTCAGTGTTGCATAACTAACCGCTAGTTGTCCATTTCCCATAACCTCTTCGACAATAGTACACTTCCCCCGGGTAACACTGTTCAGTACCTTCACTTGATTGCACAACATTCCTTGAGGCATTGGACTCGCATACAAATTGGATGGAAGTGAAAGGACTTTATTTAAAACCTGTGATGTCAAACAAACAAAATGACATCAGGCATATGTGTCTTCTCATTGTGGTAGTCACGTTTAATACATGTTTTCTATGTTTTCCAATGATGTTCACTACTGAAAGAACTTTTGGTTTCTCATTCTGCATATGTGGAAGCAAAGGTTAAGTTTTGAATGCTAAAGTCCACATTTTTCATATATTTTTTATTTAAATGTTGATATGGACCTGTAGGCATTTAAGAAGAATGATGTCCATTTATTCCAAAATTAACGAAGAATTTATAGAAAATGTAAAAATAATTTGGAGGGTAAAATATGACATTTAAAGGTTTCAGTTGACTTTGAACATTACCATGCATTACCTTGAACATGCAGTTCTGTTTGAAAAAAAATTATGAAATTTGTGTCAATTAGTATCCGAGGAACTACTAATACATGTATATGCGTAACCTGAATTTGACATCGTTTTTGCTCCGGGCTTAACTGATCAATCATATACATTGTCATAGTTACGTTTTATATTCCCGAAACACGCACTGAACTATTTACTGTACGAGTTACAAATCAAGGACTGTTGTAATAGCCTGACCAGTTTGGATTGAATTGACTTGATTCTTTGTCTCTGATACACTATTTCTGTTTCACCTGTGAGTTTTAATTTCTTTTAAATCTTTGTCACAATATACTGCTTCCTTGTCCCGCAGACGAGACAAGACTGATCGCATGACTGCATTTGTCTAGTCTACAAAAGAATATAAGAACTTCAAATCGCATTCTATATTCTTTGTGAGCACAACAAATTATTGTCTTTGGGAGTAAATTATTTTGATGCAGTGAGATTACCAGGACTTGATAGCATAAGGATATTCACCCTGTCTGTTTTAGAGTCATAATACTATTAAGTTTTGCATAACTGGTTTCATGGCTGTAATTTAGTCTCCATGGTACTGACCAGTATCGACATAGTGGTATGTCTGAGATTACTTCTATCAAAATTTTTCCTCTCTCTCAAATTGGAACAAATTCAAGCGTTATTTTTAGAAATTCTTGCTACATAAGCTCAACAGAAACAGTTTTTTTCTATGAGTAACAGATTTCATCTGAAAGTATAAACAGCCTGTGTATCCACACCTGTTCACTGTTACCTTGTCGTTGGCCTGCTGTACCTTCATTCAGCAATCACACAATAGTTGTTGAAGCAATTGATTATCTCTGTACCTGTAACAAAAAATTTTTAGAATTAATTTAATTCTGTGTTCTGCTTACATGAGTGGATTGTCATTTGTACAGACTTGTGTATTTCATAGTAGTTGTAGCTTTTACTTTCAATACCCTTGCAGGCTAAATCAACTTGATCACAAAAGTGATGTGGTTTTGAATATTTATTCTTTTAGAATAAGAACAATATTCATTTTCCCATTTATAAAAGTACTCGTGAAAATGTGTCTTAAAGCTTTTGAAATAGTGTGTCATATAATTTGAGTGTAACTCTTAAATATTCTGTCAAAGATACTTTTACATGTCATTTAATAGGTATTTATATGGTTTTTCACATCACGACAAAATGCCATTACATAAAACTTGATATGAGCTGCAGGTAGATACTGGTGAAACATTGTACATATACATGTATCTCTGCTATGATTGGTTCTGCCTCAAATGTATGTAGACCAGAGTGGTGTCAGACTAGACTGTCTCATCTTGGTACATGTATGTCTGCATTATACCAAGCTAAAGCACTTAGATGTTTGAATCTGGAGAAGTGTAATACAATGCCTCATTCCCTTTATGCTGCTCATGGTTTCCCCAGACCCTGTTTAATTTATACAGCTGTCTTCTTCTACTGACTGATGGTGCTGTAATTCATACCGATAACATTTCTTATTATCCCTGATGCTCTCATATCATCTATTCCCTGTTTGCTCCCTTCTTGAACTTGTGAACATTACTGGTTTGTGTGGTATTACATGTACGCATGGTTGCTCCTGTCTAAAAGTGGGCATACTGTATAGTGTGATATGGAATGATATAAACCACACATACTGATCATGTATGTATGTATGTACTAGTATGTTTGTATGTATGTTCAGTAAGGTTTCAGAGCAACATTTTATTATCAATATCACAGTTCCAGTTGTGCATTTATCGTTTTTGCATCATGCAATCTGTATGGCCGGTGAGATAAAAGCTGTACTGTACATAATCTGCAAATACAACTGAATGGATTATCTGACTCTTGAAGATCTGCCTCTTATGTATTATATAGTATTAGGGATTTAATTCCATCATTTTATCTGACAGGTGTTTCTCCGTCCTGGTGCTTTAGCTCAGATAGAGGATGCCAGAGATGAGAAGTTGACTGGAATAATAGTCGGGCTACAGGCACAATGCAGGGGATATCTGGGAAGGAAAAAACTTAAGCAGCTCAAAGTGAGTGAAATTACATTATGTCTCAATAGGTCTTATGTACAACCTCCAAAAACATCACAAATCCTGGTACTTTCTGGAGGTACCAATTCACTGTCAAGTATTTCCTCCTAAACATGGCAAAAATTAATGTTTAATATTTAAATTATTAGTGTTACAGGGCAACATTACCCCACATAAAAATCCCACATCTCGGCCATTGTGTGGAAATTAAAAAAACTATTTAAATATAAAAAAAAAAAAACTATGAAAATACTAGGATGTTTGACCTTTGGGGGTCGTGCATAAAGCCTATTGCTCTTTTCCTATTGTTCTGAAATTAAGACAAAAAATTGGTAAATCCTGAAATTGTATTAATAAATTGTCGGATTCACTGATCATATTTGAGAAATGCACTTATATGCGAGTCTTTATATTCAGTTTCATCTTGGCATCCGTTGTTGCTATGGTACATTTGAACAATGGCGAGACAATTACATGTGAGATACGTTGAATTGACTGGTAATCAAATTGTTTCTTTTTCTTCTTTTTTTTTACAGATTCAAACAATTGCAATAACATGCATCCAGAGAAACATTAGGAAATACATTGCTGTGCGTAATTGGACGTGGTGGCGCCTTGTTACAAAAGTGTTGCCGCTATTGGACGTGCATAGGACTGAAGAGGAGCTCAGAATCAAAGATGTAAGTAATGTAAATACCCTATCAAAAACTATTTATGGTGAGGACTCTGACTATACTGAATATAATATCTGTCATACGTAAACTGTTCACCTATACTGTAGGTGTTGCGATCATTGTCCTCTTCAAAACAGGCTTGTAAATGATGAAGGTGCGTCTATGATCTAATTAAGTCAAATTTTAAGGATTCTGTATGAGATGCTAAACTACTGTAAAACATGTTGAAAAAGCGACATGCAATTTTAGCAAATTGCAGTAAAACGACATAATAGCGAAATGTTGATTTAGCGAATCTCTCTTGTCAGTGTTGATTTCCTGTTTTCACAATACTTGTCTGTGGCGTGTCAAAACAAATGTGCAGTTATCACCTCCATAAAAACAAAGAAAAACTGTCAAGTGTAATTAGGAAGCGTCCCAGTTTTTTATGTTCTGGATTACTGTATCCAAATCCCCAAGCCTTGGCCATTTGAATTTATAATAAAGTCATTAGCGAAATCTTGAATTAGCGAATCAGTTCTCTCACTAAATTCGCTAAAAAGACATGTTTTACAGTACAGAAGAGGAGAATTTGTTACAGATAATTGATATATCATTAGTTAATTAATGATTGGTAAACTTATTTTCAGGTTGAACTAGACCAGCTGAAGATCAAATTCCAGAAATTAGAAAAAGAACGCAACGATTTGAAGCAGAACTATGACCGATTGGAAACAAAGGTAAACAATATTTTTATTTTGTTTTATAGAATTTGTGATTCAATTTATTATATATTATTTGGCGTTAAAAAAAACAGAAAATATTTTTAATGTACTAAACTCTGAATTCTCTGTGTTTACATCTCAGTTCAGCGATATTACCACCGATTTAGCTGAAGAACATGGCACAGCCACCCATGCATCTGAAGCTCTTGAAGCAGAAACAGCTGAAAGAATGAGGCTGGAAAAAGAATTAAAAGATCTTAAGGTATTCAATACTATCCAGTGCATGTCAGATGTTTTAATTTGATTGCTGACTATCTAACTAATAAACAGTATGATATAGAAATGTTGTATTTCTCTTGTAGATGAATTTTATTGCGAATTGATGTTATCGATGTATTTGTACCTAGAAGATAAATGTTTCTGTCCCTGACAAAACTATAAATCAGTAAACAGAAAGGTTTATCATAATTGAAATGATTTTATATCACTAAAATTTCAAGCACATTTTTAAAATACAAAATTTCATAGAAGTTTTAACTGCTTGAACTAAAAATCACATACTACATGGTGCATCATTTGTTGTCATTCAAGTCAAAATTCAGTCACTTTTGATGTTTCATGTCCCACATGAAATTACAAATTTGTCTGCAGTTAGCATTTCACTGGTTTCTTATGACAGTGATCTTTGCGAGAATTTGTCTTTGCAAATGCAATAGTAATGTAAAAATACAATCATGGAACATTGATGTATCATTTGATTCTGTTTCTGATTTTAAATGTCAGTGAATATGTCCAATTAGTGAAATTATATCTGGGTGAAAAATAATCCTTATTACAGTATGCAGTACGCAATATATTTAAACACTGCTCTCAAGGTGTTACAATACTGGGCATAGAGGGCGCTCTTCATTTAGACCTGTCCCATATCTTCCGGAGCACACTCCAACTAGAACTTTTAAATATTTTTTTTTGTCCACTTATTATTATCATTTCTCAGTGATTGTCATTGACATTTACTATACATTCTCAGCCATAAAAAGGAGAAATTATCAAATTGCCTTACACGATTGAAAAACATTGACTGAAGTATGTTCCTTTTAGGAGTGGTGGAGAAAATTTTTCCTAATCACAACATTATTTGCCATGCATTTGAACTGGATCACTCAGTAATAATTGTCTCTGGTATTTCAGACTGCTTACAATACCCTGCAGCGCAAAAATGAAAAAATGGAAATGGAATTAATGGAAGCCCGACTGAGGGCGTCAAGCATTGATAGCGCTATGGAAAGTGATGACGATGGCGACAGTGAGTTCAACTCATCAATTTCTTTTGTTTTTACAAATTGAGGGCGCCCTTTCACAAAGTTCTGCTCCCATCATAGGTTTTCTCATTTTGTTCTGTCAGATTACTAATGTAGAATACTTTATTTTCGCTTGGAATTTATTTTCGCTATTTTCGCTGAAAGGATGATTCCGTGAAAATAAAATCTAGGGAATATACTTTTTTCCCTGGATACATGTTGTATTCAACATTCAAATCAGTGTAAATAAATTCCATACAAAACACCCAAAATGCCTTTTCAGCGAAAACTAATTCCAGCTAAAATAAAGTGTTTCACAGTAAATTTGTTTATCATCCTCCTACACATCCTCCTTCTCATATCTCATTTGAATTATTTCCGTCATGAGTTTTCCTGCTGTCCTGTGTTCCTTCTTTATTCTTATCTCACTTGTATATTGTTAATTATTAGTATTTTATTTCATTTCTTTTCCTTCACTCCAACTTTGGAGAGTAGTTTCTATATTTATTTTCAATCAATCTTTATTCTCACCTGTGAGGGACAATTAACAACTCTATACAATCACAAACAATTAACGATACATTCTCCATTCTATGTGGATCAGGAACCTTTGTGGGGTGCATCTTAGGCCGAAAAAAAAAGGTTTTGCTTCTTATTCAAGAGAAAATTTAAAAAATGATGCTATGATGTGGTTTTAATTTTCTTTGTGTATTAAGATTATATAATACCACAACAGCAATATGTATGTTCTACGTTTATTTACCAACGCTTTCGAATACATGCATTACAGTTTTATTTGGATACACACAACTTTCTCTGAAAAAAAGCATTTCCCCAATCTGTAAAGTTGTGCACTTTACTGTTTTGCAAAATTGCATAGAAATGTGTGCGGCACAACTTTTCAAACTGACACCTACGATGACAAGAAGCAAAACTTATTATTTGTTCGTCTCAGTGAGAAAACATCGCACTCGCCTAATTTATCTACCCTGTATTTTCTCTATAATGTAACTATATCTAGGACAAGGAGCTGTCTTGCAGTTTTTTCGAAAGCAAAGAGGTAGACTACACTAACGTAACCCTCAAGCTTTTTGGAATGGGCATTTATTTAATAAAAAGCTTCTGCTTTGCATTTCATCCGGCTTTTACAACGTTTTCTCTGTTCGTTCTGTCGTATGTTGATGGGTATCTTGTCTCTAGGTTTGTTGATGCGAATTAACCATTGTATGGTACTTCATTTCTTCTTCTATCTCTCAGCTGATCTTCCTCTTTTTTGACTGTATTATGTATACGCATCGGATGGCACATGGATGAATGAATTGGGCTGGTGGAAATGCAACGTGTTGTTGCTTTGCAGTATGAGCCAAACTTGACACATGAACTTGCACACTGGGTATTGACCATACTCAGTCAGCTGCAACTAATTTTACCTCCATGTTCAAGATTTTATGAAATAAAGAAGAATAAAATTTCTCTGTCTCTGTTCTGATTAGGGCAGATGTGTTAAGTTTATTGACTAAGAAACAAACGCGATCTAAGCAAATAGCTAATACATCAAGTATTTATGAATAAGAACTGTACCAGTCATATTTGTAATTTATGTTCAAATGAGAAAACCTTCTGTCAATGTAATACCCTCTTTCTTCTTTGACATTTACAGCCAGGCTATTGTGAATTAATACTAATAGCATTTGTTTCAAATTAGTAAACAAAAACAGTGACAGAAGTATTTTTAACGGTTGTGGTGTTGAATAGTTTTTCAAAGGACTTTGTTCAGGGGAATAAATTTCATAGGGATCCACAACAAATCATTAAAAAAGTCTAAGCAAAGTTACACAGTTGGAGTTGATTATGTTTTTATCACCTGTGTTTTATGCGCTGTACTTTGTTCTATGGTCATGTCAATTATATTTTTATTAAGATCTTGTACTTCTGACAATGGGCTGATCCAAGTATTTTGTTTTTTCACGATCACCCTGACTTTCGTGTTCACCCCCTTTTTTTTCTCACAATCTGGTTTCATGTTTACCCACAACTCGGTTTACTCAGGAGTGTTGTTTTGTTTGTCACTGTGTTGTTATTGTCTTTAAGCCACAAAATAGTTCTGCACTGGACTTGCCTGTTCGGCTTTGAATTTAGAAAATTCAGTTATGCTTTCATTGCTCATCTGATCAGCACATTGTTAAGCACTTGATATGTAAACATCGCAAGCCTTTATTACCAAAAAAGGGAAAGACACTCTCAAATTAAAAAAAAAAATTTGTTATTATTGAGTTTTCAACTAACTTCGCTCATCATGCTGCTGCATGTTCCTGGTGACATAACTTGCTTTATTGACAGACGTGGCTTTTGGTGAAAGTTCAACCACTACTGACTTAAAAATAGAATGCCCTGTTGCTTATTTGTACATCATCCATCTTATCGTTACAGTCAGCGATTCAGTTTACAGACAGAAGTATGAAAGAGCCAAGCGAGAGCTTGAGTTTCAGGAGAAAAAACTACAGTCAGAACATGAAGAAGAAATGGATAACCAGCGGGCACTCAAGAAAACCGTGGATAGAAAAGTAAGTTTCAGATTTTTTTTCTAGATTGACTGGTGACAAAATATTTTGCTCATTATATCTTCCGAGTTCACTTTCCCTAAAGTCTGGACCACGTATTTTTCCTTCACAATCACTGATCATGTTGATTGACTGATAAAAAACAGTACACTACTACCGTACAAATCTGTATTAGAAGCCACATCCCTAATAGAAGCCGCACCATTCTTTTTGAATAATTGAGAACCAAAAATTCTTCATTTCACATATGCGTAGATGCTCTAATAGAAGCCACATCCCCTCTGTTGCATTGTACCATTTTAATAGAAGCCGCGGTTTCTAATACAGATTTTACAGTAATCCGAATACGCTAATTTTTCAGGCTATACAATCCTTTACCTTTTACTATTTTCATTATAGCTTGCTGAAGCCCTGGAAGAAATAGAAGATCAATGCCGTATTGTGAGCAATCTGAAAAAGAAATCGTCAAGACAGGCAGGGGAGCTTCAGGACATGAAACTACTTCTCGAGTCTCAGCAAGCAAGAAATGCTGCGTTGGAGAAAAAACAAAGAAAGTATGTTAGTTAATAAAGTGTTAATTCTGTTAATTTTTTGGGGTTTGATCCACATTGTTTTACAGTGCTATTTCATAGATTTTGATCCTTTCCAGATGTTCAGTTGCAGAGGTAACAAAACTTAAACTAGATCGACAATCCATACTATAAAAATGTGAGGTCACTGACAATATTATTCATTGTATCTAATCTAAATTAAACCCACAGCTACGTTTTCAGATGATACTAAAATTAATTTCTCTTTTAGGACTACATATATATACCATATTTGCTTTATTAGTAGTGCAAGCATATTACGTACATTGCAGATGTGTTTCTATGATTAAAATGAGTTGTATCGATATTTTAAAGATTGCTTATGTGTGTGTGTGTTTTCTAGATTTGATGCTGAACTTGGCCGGGCTCATGATGATGCCAAGATGGAGAAACAAGCAAAGGAGAAAGTACAGCGAGAGAAGGAACACCTGGAAACTGAAATTTACACATTAACAAGCCAATTAGATGTAAGTAGAATTTCAGTGAACTACAGGTGGGTTGTAAGATCATAAGAGATGGGATTATCTAGTATTACGGAAAGCTGTGTCCAAGCATATATACAAGGCAGAATCTGATACATCAAAAAAAACCTGTCAACAAACAAGCTGCTCTCTGATTGGTCAGATTTTTAGATGTTAGGTTTGGTTAGCCAATCAGACACAGTCTTGTAAGCAGCTTTGTATTGACTCTAGTAATGTGATGTCTTACGTTTAGTCCTGTGCATGTGTTTAGTAGGTATAGTTATTCATTGTGGGATTTTTTCAACCAATGGTGGAAGTTGAATTCACTGTGAGGCAATTTAAATAAATGATCACCCTTGAGTTAAAAACACCCTTACATGTACATCCAAATTGTGTAATCTGCTTAAAATATATTAGTAATTTAGGTAAATACTATAATAAATAATTTGAAAATATTTTTGGGAGATAAACTAATTTTAAAAATTGCTATATTTTTTGAAAAGGCAAAGCCTGCTAATAGCCAGGATGGAAGTTACACTTGGATCACACTGTGTGTGTGAACCTCACCTGCTAGATTTGGTTTTCCAAAAGTGTATATTTCATCAGGGTGCCATGTTGTCGTCATGAATTCATTGATTTATTGATTGATTGATTGTAGGAGAAAAGAAATGAAATAATTCACTTGGATGATAAAGTAGACAATTTACAAACAGAGCTTCGTGATCTCACATCAAGGGGTGGGAAGGACGAAACTGAAAAACTGGACCTCAAGAGATTTAGGCGTGAATTGGAAGCCAAGCTTCAAGACCAGGAAGAAGAGTTAGATGAGCAAGCCGGACAAGTGCAAATGTTAGAACAGGTGAGTAAATAATTAACATGCAAACACATTTATGAATACAATGTACTAAATCCCTCATCTGTTACATCAGTAACGAGAACAGAATTAAAGTGATACGTTTGTTCGCACCATGCTATGTTTTGATGCGGGTCCCATGCGACATGTACAACATATGTGCAAAATACATTGTTAACACAAAATTAAAAACGTCTTAGAATGTTAGTACATTAACAAAACCAGTGTAGTTTTATTTTATCATATAAACTGCATTATTTCATGCGTATTGAATATCTTTCTTTATTTTAGGCTAAGTTACGTCTAGAAATGCAATTACAAAACATTAAACAGGAACATCAAAAAGAATTAGACGCCAAAGAACAAGAAGTAGAAGATGTCAGAACGAACAGTCAAAAGAAAGTAAGTGGTCAGTCTAGTTGTGCATTCACTGTTCATAAAGAAATATTTGGAATAGCATAACACTACTGAAAAGAGCATACCTATTGAATAATTCTCACTTGTAGCAAATTCGCAGCAACAACATTGTTTCGTTGTGTATGTCATTTATCATACAGCAGATGCAATTATCTTGTCATACACAACCTTCATTTCACCTGTCTATGATACATTGCCAGGGGAGGATATGTTCATTGCAAATCTGTGCTATTTCAAAATTTGGGGTGTGGGAAATATTTAACTTTGGTCAAAGCATAACACAGTGTAGCTTCCTTTTTCCCTGATGAAAAAAATTATTAAGTATATATTATTATTTTATCTAGTAAATCATTGTAACCTATTTTGTAGTCATTTGACATCATAGTTCAGAAGTATAGAAAGTAAGTCCTGTAAAATACTTATTTTAGCTGGAATTTATTTTTGCTGAAATGACATTTTGGGTGTTTTGTATGGAGTTTATTTTCACTCATTTCTGATGAGTTGAATGTAAAATATAGGAAAAAAGGTATATTTGCTGGATTTTATTTTCACTTAATCATTCCTTCAACGAAAATAGCGAAAATTAATGCCAAGCGAAAATAAAGTATTCTACAGTATATTAATATCTTATTTAGTAAATCATTGTATTGTCATTTGACATCATAGTTCAGAAGTATAGAAAGCAAGTAACCAAAGTTTGCAATTAGTAGAACAGAGTTCTCACAAAACTTGCGATTTACATTATTCTTGTATTGCCTACATAATAAATTTTCTTGCGATAAATGAAAGTGTAACCAATGATGCACGTTTCCTTGAGATCTGTCACTCGTACTAAAATTATGTTGCACTTCGTAGCTTAAACATTTAGAAGCCCAACTTGACGAAGAGTACAGCGAGAAACAAGCAGCTTTAAAAGAAAAGAGGGAGATTGAGCGGCAGCTGAAGGAGAGGCAAGATGTGTTTGTCAGGAGTGATAAAGATACAGAGAGACGATTGAGAAAAGATTTGAAGAAAACGAAAGCCTTGCTTCGTGATGCCCAGATAATGTTAGATAAACAAAAGGAGTCGGCTGTGAACAAAGCCTCTTTCAAACAATTACAGAACGAGGTAAGAGTGACGTTGGTATATTGTCTATTTACAGTTATTGAGGTTGCTTAAACGTTTACACATCAATATCAATTGCCCTGGTTCAATGTCTTGATTACCCTGGGTTATGTCACATATTCATTAATTGCCATTTTGCAAAAGTCACTGCCTCCCTAAGACAGCTATTTAAATCACTGACTCCCTAACTTATAGCGACATTGTCACTAGAACTGTGCAAGCATGAATTCTATTTTTCTGTTATTGTTCTTGTTTTACTTCGGTTGGCTTTTATCAACATTGCTCACTCTACACACTTACTCATTTTTTCTCTGAGTTCATAAATTTTCTGTAATAACTGATAGAACCGATGCTGACGGTAACTCTTGTCGTGCCATTTGTGCATTCACTCTATCTAAACCTAGCATCTGGTAATTCCTACAGCTTGAAGAGTCACAGTTCATGTCCCAAGCCGCTGTGAAGTCTAGGAAGGGCATCGAAGAAGAGCTAGCCGATCTTCAACAACAGTTGGACTATGTCTCAAAATCCAAATCAGAAGTAAGTCATTGTTTTTTGTTTGATTTCTAAAGATCACAGGATTAAATGTCACGAGAAAAACACTTGTTGTGCAATCCACCACTTAAATGACCTATAACATTGATTTCTCTTTTTTGTATTGATTAACAGGCAGAACAAAAAATGATCAGTGTGACCAGAGAAAGAAACGACTTGCAGTGTAAAATAGATGACCAGGAAGAAGATTTCAGTGAATTACTTAAAAAACATAGGGCTATTGTGCACCAGGTGAGTTAGATCATTTTATTTTGAACAATTTTTTGTGGTCATTGGTGATTTTTGGGAACAGGGGCGCAGCACCCTCATGCCATGGCCATGTGCCCCCTTACCCTGGGGAGCAAATCCTCTGGCAACCATCAAATTCTGAATGACCAGGGATCACATGTGACCTGTCTGATAGTAATTTAGGTCCCAAGGAAGTCATAAAATGCTCCATTTTAACTTGGAATTATCAAAAACTCCACACCCTGGTAGGGAGAACCATATCTCCCCCACTTGGTGGCGCTGCAGAATTGCAGTGCTCCCTCTTGCATTTTTTCTAGAAAAACCCCTGTGTCATCATATCTTTTCTGGTCATCCCCTCAAATGCTTGTAGATTATCATTTAGTGATAGTTTGCGTAGTTTTGTCCTTCGATTCTCCAAATTTTTAGTCAAAGGCTTGAAGCACAGTGGGTGAAATTATGAAGGTGTGACTGCTATTTTAATTTTGTGTGCTCACATGCTACATGTCTGCTTATAAACAGATAACTAAGGGTATTTTATTTATCGTCACTGTTAAATAACAACAGACTTTTTCTTCTCTGCCCTCTAACCTAACTAGGTTTCCCGGGAAATGTTTACCAATGTAATTATTAATTATCATAGTTATAAACTGAGTCTATGGTATGAATTTCTATTGTTATCATGGTTACAAAAGTTATGTTCTTCATTGTAGGCATCGCAGTACCAACTACAGATTAATGATCATCTCACCCAGATAGCTGAGTTGTCTGGAGAGAAGGAAAGCTTACAAGAGAGGGTAAGTCGTTACAGACATTCTATTTTGGCTTTAAGTGTTCATGATCATGGCGGTCGGGGTGAGTACCAGTAGACAACGACAGTTAGTGATTGAAGAATAGATTGGTTGAAGTTTTTTTGATGTGGAATGCTCATTTTAATGAGTTTCAGTTCCTTGTAGCCTAAGCAACATTTTGTATGTTTTTTGTATTAGCATTAGTAATGAGTTTGCTCAATGAATGAATGAACTTGGTACAAATTAACATCTCTGCTGGTGAAGCCAAATCCAGCAGCTTGACCACACATGTATCTAAGACCACAGATACCAGTGACTCTCAAGGCATCTCACATAGATTGGACTAAATACAGCACACGAAAATAAAAATAATTTAGTCTCATAGAAGATTTTCTTGATACACTAAATCTAACGACAACTATTGTGTTTAATTGCAGGTAGCTGAGCTGACCATGAAAGTTAATAACTACATAGAAACCACTGTGGACAGAAGCCAAGTGGTGAGATTTGAAGGAAAATGCCGTGATTTGGATAGTCGACTGGAGTTAGAACTATTGCATAAACAACGACTTGAGGTATGCATGGTCAGCATTCTTCACTAACATATTAGCATTGATTGGTAAACAATGTGCACAACAGAGTAATATTGAATTTTTAGAACAATATTCCTAGCTTAGCCTAGTCGTAGTGAATTACATGTAGATATCCAGATGAATAAATACAACATTTCTTAGGAATTTAATTTGTATTTTGCATGTATATTTCTTCATATCACTTATTTTGGTTCTCCCCATAATGTTTTAGCTTTGATGTTGACTTTGTCGAGCGGAGCTTATCATATGAGTGATTGCGCGGTGTCGTCTTTCATCCATGTAAACGTTTTACTTTTTCAACTTCTTCTTGAAAACTACAAATCTGATCGCTTTGATAATTGGTGCATATGTACTTCGCGTAGACCTCACTTAGATTTGTTAATTTCATGATATCTTTAATTCTCTAATTTCGGTGAATATTTCTGTCATTTCTGATAAAAATGATATTTTCAACTTCTTGTTGAAAACCACAAATCCGATTGCTTTGATATTATACATATAGCTGCCTCAGGTGGACCAATCTCAGATTTGTTCATTTTGTGATGATATTTTAAATTTTCTAATTGAAATGTGCATTGCTAACAGCGGAGCTATCTCAGCCGAGGGGCTGCTTGTTTTCTTGTGGGGGGTGTGTATTACCAAAACAAAATTTACACCACATATTTACACAACATTAGGAAAGTATATTATTATTATTACATAACATACTGTTAACTCATTTGACTGGTTCTAGATCTTCTCTTAAAGAAGGAAATCTGGGTAATTCAACTTGCAAGGTGATGTGATGCATGTTCATACCACTTGAGTTTCTAACTGTCAAGTTCAATTGCAGGCCAACCTGTCTAAGCTAAAGGATAGCAACGAAAAATTAACCAGTGAAAGAGACTCGTACAAATCAAGCGAACAACAAACGCAGGAACTCAATAGGAAGTTACAGAGACAGCTGAAGGACCTGCGAGACGAGTTCTTTGAGTTACAGAGGAAAGAGGATGACGCAACCCGCAAGAAAATAGAACTGGTAAGAAATTGGGGTAGGGCTAGTTTTATGTTGTTGTGGAAAAAAATGAGTTGAATCATCTGGTGGAATACCTGTTAAAATCCTGGCTTTGCATTTATGGGATGACACCAGTGCATCATGGGAAGTGTACTTTTGAATGGTTTACTATATGTATACAAATGTTGCCAGTTAATATGTACACATTATAAATACAGAAATGCTTTCATCTTGCTGGTCAAAGTTATAGAAAATAGAGTATTCCATGCACTCAGGTTGATTTTGGGGACTCCCCGAACCAAGGTTGTGCAATTAGCACACTAAATCTGGCACCACTGTCTTACCTTTTATGCATGAGGGACTACATTTTAAAATAATAATAATAATAATAATAACTTTATTTAATTAAGCGCAACAATTCCAACATATGAAGATCAAAGGCGCTGATACAATAAACAATCAGTCAAATATTAAAAGCACATTTAAATAAGTACGTTTTCAGTCTGGATTTAAAAATGTCTACTGAAGGACTAGAACAAACAGACAGAGGTAATTCATTAAAAAGTTTAGGACCTAAATTTTTAAAAGCACGATCTTTGTATAACACCTTGGACTTTTTACTACACATCTGACGAGTTTTAATAAGAAACTTCGATTCAGATCTTAAACTACGACTCGGTACATAAAATTCGATTAATTCACATAGATAATTTGGGGCAAAACCATACAAAGATTTATACACTAGTAAAAGTAATTTGAAATTGATTCTTTGTACAACTGGTAACACATTGCAATGCTATTGTCATTTTGTGTTGTAAATAGAAAGGAAATTATAGCTTGGTTCTTACTCATTTAAATGTCATCTTCTAGGAGAGGCAAGTGGAGGAAGCAGAAAGTTCTCAAGAGGTACTACAATCTGACTTAAAACTGGCGTTTAGGCGGATACAGGATTTACAGAATGCTTTAGAAGACCAGTTAGATGCAGATAGTGATATGGATGACAGGTATGTTAATACGTCATCTTACAGTGAGCCTTTGAAATGTGTGCGTTTGTGAATAAACATGTTATATATGTCACATGTGCACAGTTGGTGAACAGAATTTCCAGTTCTAGTGAAGGTTTGGCATACTACTTTATTTATTTCAAAGTATGTAACTTATTAATTGTGCATGACAAGACTTGCACATTGCTTTTACGCAAAAGGAACAGCACCTCCTTCAAATATGTTGACAATCCCCCAAATCCCTCTGTTGAGCAATTCCAGAATGTACTTTGTTTTTAACAACATGTGCAGTGCATTCCTCTGAGTAACTGAACTGTACTGCTTTGGTTTCACGAGAGGTAATTTTTTGCGTGTTAGTGAAAATCAACAAATTTTATATCATATATTTTATATTTTATACTCAGGTCCAAAGAAACAGACATACTGACTTTCATACAATTTTGTCTTTGGAATTGCCATTAAATCATCAAATTATGCAAATTGTTTGCAGTGCAAATGAAACGATGTATACTATAGCACATTATGTTTTGGTACAACTATTTATAATTCAAGGTGCCTACAAATTTTGGGGAATATAATACTTCACATGAAGATGTTTTCCTTATCATATTATTACTTTACCTTGGCAATCTTTAAATGCCATATACACATTGACAAACTTTCATCTAATTCCCTTCCTTTGTAGTGAGGATGAGAGTGATGAAGACATCGATACTTGGTTAGCACGGCATAAACGCACTCCATTATCAAGAGACAGAGACGACAGCATTAGTTCTGTTGACTCGCCATTGAAATACACTAGTCGGCGGTCACCTGAAGGCGTTGATGATAGCTACAATAGCCTGGAGACGCACAAGTCGCACACGGGATCAGGCTTAATGCATCGCAGGTCATTTACATCAGGATCTGAAGCCGATCTTGAGTCTGATGTTATGACGAGTACTAGCAGTTGTCGGTAAGAGTAAAAATCGTTGTAATATTTTCATTCTGTTTTAACCGAAAACTTACTAAATTCGTTTCTTTTGTAAAATTGATAAACAACAAATTATCATTGCAATGTAGCGTTTACAATCACATTAATCTGTATAGTCATAGTTTACTGTTTGTTGTCTTGTAACATTTTGTTTTCCTTTATAAAGTATTGTATATTTCTTTCTCATGTCATGTAGCAAAGATTGACACATTGGTTCATTTCATCTTGCACGGTATTCATCTCATTGTCTTTTTTCTCTCTCTCTCTGTCCCTGTCTCTTTACTCTCCTCGTCTTCAGTAAGAAAGGGCTGTCGGTCAAATTGCTATAGATAACCACCACACAAGTCACAGTGTAAGTATGTGTGTAACACACGGTTTACTAATTTAAATGTCAGTCGCATGTGTGTTCCTGGGTTTGTTACTCACAGGTTCCATATTTGTTATTCAGTGTTCTGTTTAATCAAATCAAATCACTGTTCTTGTAAGCCATTCACCAATGCCTGTATTGTATGTTTGCTTTGTTTATTCTCTAAATAATCATTGAAATTATTTTTACTTCAGATACAAGAAATACAACGATGATGATAACAGCACACCAGCTTCATTGAGAAGTCGATTTGGCAGTTCAGAAGATGAGACCGACAAATCTACACTTGGCAGCCGAGACACTGATCTAAAATCAGACATTTTATCCCCAGTGAACAATAAAAAACATTATGATTTGCTTGACACTATGACAGAGGAATACGTATAATCTCCCTTTCCTAGGTTCATAGTGTAAGGGTTCCGCCTTACGTCATGAATCGTGGACCATCCAAGTTGAAAGTGTGGTGATGCAGCGCTATCAAAATGCTGTGCTCGTCCCTGCTAAGAGCCCTCTAGTGAGCAACTCCGGAATTTCTTTTGTTTTTAATTTGTAAGTTTCAGCACTATAGCTCCAGAGGGCGTGACACTGCCAAAGAATTGGATGAACTTGACTAACAAAGCAAACATCTTTCACTACAGCTTGATCAAAGCAAAGTTCCTGTCTTTTTGATACCAAAGTAAATCTTCATTAGATTCCTATCATACTATCAAAAAGGTGCTACCTTTCACACGTACTTAATATACATCAAGTGCTATACTGCTACATAATGATATGCCATCTTTCTTCAGTTCTAACATTATCGGTAATGAATCATTTTGTTTGTGTCACTTTTTTGGGGAAAGTTGTACTATTTATTTGAACAAACCTATAAACCTATAATTTAAAAAAATAAAACATGGCCTCTGAAGAGTGATTTCAATTGTAACAATTTATTCTGAGGTATAAATGAAAACCTTGTGGGTACATTTGGGAAAAAGTAACAACCCCATTTGCGGAAAGCAGTCTACATTGTGAATTTCTTTCACATTTAAAAAAATAATAATACTATTATGCTCACAAAATGTTCCCATCCCAGTATCATCTTTCCTGTTACCCTCGCAATCAACATTTCGTATTCGAATATCTGCCTGACAATGGATCACAGACATCTGTATATTCGTGGAATAGACGTGTTGTTTTGACTGCAAAGTTGCAGCATTGAACTTTATATGGAATATTTAAGTATTCAGTAACTTTTTAACTTTATTGGAGTGTAATGTTTTGATCTTCATGGGTTATGCATTTGACTACAAGCATGTCCGAAACTGAATATTCTCAGTTTATTTACGCAATCCAGATAAACTGCGTCCATGATGTTGCAATGAAAGACATAATGTGCTAACCTTTGACCTTACTGTAAAATATTCGATAATCATTTCCTGATCCAATGTTCGTACATTCAGACAAAAAGTCAGACGACGGAGGTCAACTACCGTAGCTATGAACTTGACTGCCTTGTCATCTGTAGCAGAACTAGCCAACACCCACTTATAATGGTGCATTACATAGTTGATATGTATATTGCATACAGTGTTATTTCTTTGTCATTTGTAATTTTGTTCTGTTGTAAACCGATATGCATACTCCATTGCTATCTGACAGCTGTCATGGCTACAACACACCGCCCAACCGCATAACCATAACAAAAAACTGACAGTTATGACCTTTTTTGAATTGAGTTTGAACCACTTGTGATTACACTTTTAGTTTTTAAAGGGAAACTATTCTGCCATAACTAAATCCATATAAAGATTTATTGTCTCAAGAGAAAATTTCCAATTATTTTGTCTAATTGGTGTTTATTTGATTTTTTTGTCACTAAATATTTTAAGTATACAAAACCGGTTTCCATGCAATTCTCTGAACATTGTATATACAAATTGTTTGAAACATTGACCCACTGACCTGATGACTGTTGCAATTAGGTCGTAGATCATTGGGTCGAAGCGGCTAGCATATCAAAATATTTCTATTTTCTTCTGTAAATTGAATATTTTTTGTTTCCATGATATTTAATGTTATCCATACTGATATTAATTTTTTTTCATGATTTTATTTGTTTGCCAATTTATGCAATGAATGAGCTTAAAAGTCTGGAACTTATTTTGTAAGTTGCATATATGGAAAGATTTAAAAAGAAATAAATATGCTGCAACTAAAATAATTGTTGTTGTTTTTGACTAATGCATGTGTTGGACCAATTGAAAACCGAATTGTCAGTTTGTTTTTGAAGGTATGAAGACCTAGTTTGTATTTAAGTTTACCTTTGGTTAAATGCTTCTAATATTTGTACAGCATACTAACAACCAATAGATCTATGAAAGTATTATAGTGGGTGGTCTTGTGTCAAAAAGCCAAGGCTTGCAGTGACAAACATGTTATTCTAAGGGAATTAAACAACTGCCAACAAAAGTATTCAAGGTTGTTATATTAAATTAACACTGGGGGGCAGTAAATATTGGTGATTGGCGTACTGATGATATACGTATATCAGGTCATTGGTCACAAAACGGCAACTGTATTGTCTTGGGAAGAAACAAATTTTGCAGCTGTATTTTACTGTAGACTAATTTTATCTCTTGGAATTCTCATACTACATATGTGTAAGATAGCGGTTGTTGGACATTACATTGTCTGTTGTGGGATTGTTCAATATCTTCTGTGTTGATGATTTGTTAAGGTAAACCTCTTGTATTGAATGATTAATTCCTATTCTCTTGAGAATTGAATTATTAGTCACAAAACTGGAATAATCTGATGAAATATTCTATCAGCATGTCATGTGCATGGTTTTATACTGGTGATGGGTATATCAGCTCAGGATGTACCTTCATTTGTGACCTGTGTCTGTATTCAGTATTCAATATTTTACCAATATTGACAATGAAACAAAAAATAGACATATCTGTGCAGACGGAAACCAATTTTATTAACATTCTGAATTAATGAATGTCACTATTCTATTAAAATAGAACAGGGTGGGGTTTGTTCATTTTAGATTATTTAGAATACACTGATGTTTCAAACAGTACATATTTGCGCTTGTTAAGTAGTACTTGTATCACAAACCTGATGCTAACCTTGAGTAAATAGTATTATAATATCACCTGCTGTCTTGGTTAATACGTCGGTAAACATTAGCTTACAAGACTGGATTACAATTTAATGATTATAATAAAACATACAAAATGATGTAATTCACAAACTATTATTCTGGAATTGTATTCATGCCTCAGATTCGTATATTGAGTGGCATTCTTTTTGTCGGCAATCTTTGGCTTTTCATGCCTCCAAGCCTTTCTCTGTAACATCAATAAAAGAACATAAACAATGTTTATATCATTGTGGTAATTGTCTGTGTCTAGACTACTTATCTGACCAAATTAAACGCTATATGTGTTGACTCAGGGCATGGACTTAGAAACAGTTGATTTTACAAAACAATGTTGTGGAAAAAAGTGCCAAAATATCGCACCAATAAAATAATATGATCTCTCAAAATATGACATATATCCAAAACATCACCAAAGACGACCATTCAGATAAAGAGGGTACATGATTTTGTTTAAATAGAATTTTTTTTAATTTGTTTCAAAAGTGGTTTACCAAGAAATAAAATATCATACTTTTATGTAGGTGGATGTGAACATACACGCTATCACTTTTTAACATTCTCATTCCAAGTGTATGTAAAATACTCATATCTATCACTATTGATCTTTTATTAGATAATGATTTCTACCATATTTTATTGAATGTGAAAAGTGTGCCAAATCGCTTCTGTCGCAGTTTGTTATTCCCTTTAAATGTATCGAATTGTTTGTAAAAAGACCAACTGTTCAAGCCTTATTCCCATCTCAATTGATAATAAGAAGACTACTTTCCAATTGGCGACAATGAATAAGTTGTATAATGATGGGACTAATAAACGTGCGACTGTTTTGGTGCTTTAGCATCGAGAATTGGTTCACGGTCTGCGAGGGCGTTGTGATTGTCATTGAGATTGTCTTTGTCAGAGATACATCACTCTCGTTATCAGCTTTTTTAAATCTCAACGTGCGTCAGGTGTCAACATCAACTCATAAGATATATAATCCAAACAAAGTGCTTTTAGAGAATATAATTCTCCGTTCGGGTTCAGGGTCATCAACATCTGCCATTAGATGCTCAGCGCTGTTATTTTGTGTACATGCTAAGTGAGTGTGACAAACACAAATTATCGTTATGCATTATTCACGATCTCATGCATTTATTTATCAAGCTATTATGCCCAGTATTCAAAGTGACGAAAATCAATAAAACAATCGAGTCGATTAATATTTGAATATCAGATAAAAAGTTCCACGCATTTCTATTAGTACGTCTATAAAAACGTCCGTGGTTCCACTGCAATAGATATGAACCATTACTGAACAGTTTTGTTTCCAGTATGAAACTAATGACATTATCACAATAGAAAACAAGCTGTCGCGCAGAGATACATAGTTGCTAACATGGTGGGTGCATTTCCTGCTTAGATTCGGTGAAATGATGTTGGTGTGCCTTCTTTGATCAGCTAGTTATTGTCATTTGATACATGTTCAAGACATTATGGGCGTTACTACAATTAATGATCACAAACTACTGCACAACGTCAGATACTATAATGGTGGAAAATCCCATCAACTAAAATAGGCGCTGATGAGTTAAGGTGCAATAAACAGAAAGATGCTAAAAAGTTACAAATCCGTTAATCCGCTAAGCTTGTATAAAGACGACACTTCTAAACCTAATTAAATTGAGGCAAAAGTTTCATTCCATCCACAACTATTTCCCCATAACGGAGTCCTTATGGATCTGATAATAGATGGAAATATTGAAAAGTTGTCTGGAAGTCCTTGTAATTGCCGCGAAGAATCCTTTGGGATTTTCATCAACGTTTACATTTGTTTTATTTACTTGACTGCAATATATGTATAATGCGTGGTAGCTTATGTCGATTTGTGTACCACGCCTCGACAAGTGTGCCCTCGCCATTGACATCACTTTCTCAGTCTCAAGTGACATTGTTTTCCATCAACATAGAAATGAAAAACGTGTGTGGTGGTGGTGGGAGTTGAGGTGGTTTAAATCGGATTGCAAGTGGTCGTGAACCCGCTTCTTGCAATTGTTTGATACTAGACCTATATCAAAATTACAACATGTTTAAAAATTACGGCATGATGTACATGCATTATATAAACATTTATTTTCAATAGTTTTAATTAATAATTGAATGATGGCTTAGAGTTCTTCGATGATTCATTCTGAACCACTAGAATAATATTTTTGAGCGTAGAATATTTATATTTTTATATTGTTAGTTTGTCGTCCATTGTTGGATGGGGGTTGAGATTTAGAGTGATGGGGAGTTTGTAACATAGCGGTTAGATCGAGGCAAACTAATCTGAAACGACTAGGGCACATATATACTTTGGTCTGATAAAGTACTATTTGCACGATGTTGAGAACAATAAACAGAGAACAGATTAAAACGTACAACCTTTATCGAATTCCAATGTTTATACATAATAGAACTAGCCCTTACAATGTATATTAAACCACAAGCCATTTCTTTGTATCCAAAACAAGTTTCGCACAGTGGGCCACTGTTACGTGTGCACCAGAGAATCCAATAATAAAATACAACTGGGCAAAATAGGTAACACCACCGAGCTAAAAAAAAGAGCTCCATGGTAACAGTAGCATGTACGGGTATGGCCAAATCTAATTATATACATGAATACTGGCATTTGCGTTATTCTGGTTACTATGACAATCATGTCGATGTTGTCGACTATTGTATTGTTGTCACTTGATTTTTGGTAATAATTGAGATTATCAGATTTGATAATGTATTTTTATTTGATAACGTGTGGATCGCTTCCCGGTGACCAAGTCATGCTTGTATTCGTTAATGCTTTCTTCAGCTACATTTCTACATTGAATGGTACACTATGAAAGCAAACATAACAAGATGTCGAGTGTGCCTGTATGCTGTACAGTGATCTGCCGAACGAGACCAGTCTCGTGCGAGGGGTAGCAATTGCTGGTTAAACCACGAATCGACGACCACGTTGCAGATATTGAATGTAATTCATATACATAAGGGTTTTACACTAATGTATCAGTAAGACCGTTCTAATATGACCTTTTCACGTTATATGTCTTGCATAGAGTAATGCGCAGCAACGCAAAGATGTGAATTGTTGGAAAACACAAACCGACACAGACTATGAAAGCAGATCAACAAACCAACACTAATGTGCATTTTTTGTCGGAAATAGTCAAGTAGCTGTTACCTAATTAGTTTAAACATTTAAGGAACGTTTGACTTAAACCCATTTACAGACGAACACAGTGTAATTGCCTTTTCGCAAGGGATATTTATAGTATGCTGCATTTGTGCGCCCAAGCATATTTTTCTTTTTAAAGTACTTTGAGGTAAATTATGACGCCACATAATATAATACAGTTGCTTGCTCATTTTCATGCATACGTCGTTTGTCATTGAGATCAATTAAGACTCCATAAAGATGGTTTTAATATTAGAAACATGTTATCTCATCGAGTAGTTTATAATTACATATTATATGCGAAAGTTTATGCGAATTATATATTAAAATTGGTCAATTGTTATGGATATATCAATTTTAAAAATTTCTACAAAACTAGTTTTAGCGCCCCAATTATACTTCGACAAGACGGAGCGAATGGTCTTTCGTGTATATGAGTAATGGAGATGCCTTTGACTTATTCATTGAACGTTTCAAATAATTAATGCTACGTGATACCACAGCTTTATGTCTTCGAGCTCGACCTTACGTTCGAAACGAATACAAATAAGAATAAGAACATGACCAAACTTGTACATTAAACAATAACTGCCCGATATTTGTATGAGTTTATGTTAATAAATAATTCAACATAATCAACCTTGTTCATACGACCTACAACAACGTGCAAATGCAAATATTCTGCACTGCAGATTGAATGTAATGCTGCAATAATGTGATGCCACGGATGTACTATGCAAATAATTGTGGAAGTTGTTTATCGAGTGATTGACCACGACTGTAAACATTTATTTTTGTCTATCCATTCTATGCATGAAACTGTTAGTGAAATCGTCG